ACCATAAGAGGCACACAGGGCCCACTCCCTGTCTCTCACCTGGTGATACCCTGCACTTCCTTGGGACTCTTCAAGCAAGAAGGTCATCACCAGATGCAGCCCTTGACCTAAGACTTCCAGAACCCTGAGCCCAGATCATCACCTTTTCATTAAAAATCACCCAGTCTGTGCTATTCAGTCATTAGCAACAGAAAACCAATGCACACAGCAGCGCTTCTGCTGGGCCCTTCAACCAGCAGATCTGAGGGTTCAAGTTCAGGGACAGGAAGGCCTTTTAGTGACCCAAACTGGGAAGTCTGATGGGTGGAGACCATGCCAGCTGCCGGCCCAGGCACCTGCTATGACTGCTCAGCGTGGTCCAGCTTAAGAGAGGACCCTGCCACCAGGACAGCCAGGACTCTGAGCATGTGGAGCCCAGCACATTGGCCTCTGGGCTTTGGAAAACTTATTGCCCCTACCATTGGCCTTCTGCTGGGTGGGGCAGATTTATAGAGCTCAAGCTGCATGTGGGGTGCACTGTGGGCTGAATATTGGCACCACTTCCCCCAAACACCCAAACATGAAAAGCAAGTCAGCTGTTGTTTATTATGTCAATGTTATCGAGATGGGACTTGAATAGAATTAAATCACCCTTTTTAAGTATATGCTGCCATGAGTTTGACAGATGTGTATGGTCAGATTGCCATCTCCATGATCCAGATATAGAACATTTCCAGTCCAAAAAAGTTCCCTCGGGCCATATGCCCCTCATCTCCTCCTGTTACCTACCCTTGATCTCTGGCAACTTCTGATCTGTTTTATTTTGGCTTTTCCAGAATGCTCAGTCAATAGAATTGCTCAGGTTGTGGACTTTCAGATGTGTGTGTGTGTGTGTGTGTGTGTGTTTGGGGGGGTGTACTGGGGATTGAACCCAAGGGCACTTTACCACCAAATCATATTCCCAACCCTTTTGTTTTGAGACACAGGGTCTCACTAAGTTGCTGCAGTTGGCCTCGAACTTGTGATCCTCTTGCCTCAGCCCCAGTAGCTGGTATTCCGGGTATACACCACCACACTGGGCAGCCCAATACTTTTGAGATTTATCCATGTTGCTGCAAGTATCAACAGGTTCTTCCTTTTAGTGCTGAGGAGAATTTCACTGTGAGGATAAATCCCACTTTGATGGGCAGGTGGGTTGTTGCCAGTAGGGGGCAATAAGGAGTCAAGCTGCTATACATTTTTACACACAGGTTATTCAGTGGGAACATCTGTTTTCACTTCTCTAAACACCTGGGAGTGAGGCTGCTGGGTTGCTAAGTGTACGTTTACCTTCATAGAAAAATGGCAAGCTCCTTTCTGAAGTATTGTTTTACAATTTTTTCTCCTTTTTGCTTTCCAGGGGTGCTGGGGATGGAATCCAGGGACTCATGTGTGCTAAGCATGTGCTCTACCATGGAGCCGCAGCCCCAGCCTCCCTCTTTGTTTTTATCTCTGTTCATGGATCTGTTTTCTTCTCTTGAACAGATGCAGCCCTTGACCTAGGACTTCCAGAACCCTGAGCAGCCCCAGGACATTTGTAAAAAGACCTCGGACTCGCTAATTCCGTGAGAAACTCAAACTCTAGAATATTCATAGACAGTTTTACTGCTTCAGCACTTTCAGTGTCATCCATGACTCCAAGGACTGAGACAGGGTGGTCCTTTTGAGTGATCAACTGTTCCAGTTTTCCTGAGACTCTTGGTTTTGACATTAGAAGTCCCACATCCCAACCCCTCAGTTCTGGGACCAAACTGGGGCAGGCAGTCACCCTCTGGGTGTCAGGCGCTGTGCTGGACACATACATCACTTGGTGTATGAACCTGTCTCCAGGGTAGGTTTGCTGGTGCCCTCCTGGCACGTGAGGAAACCATATTGGAGAGCTTAAGTTGCAAGCTTAGGGTAGGCGAAGCCAAAATTTGGCACCAGGTCTCCCAAACCCCAAAGCACGGTGTCTTCCCTGGATGGGAGACCTTGTTTTCTAAGTGCCCAGTTCCAGGATCCCCGGCAGTGGCTGGACTTGGAAGACATGGTTGGTCTGGGTGGGGCTTTGCTGCCCCCTGGTGGTGGGTGGGATGGCACAATTGGGTCTGAGACCTGTGGGGCATTCAGAGGTGAGGGAGAGGAATCTTTCATCCCAAAAAGCAGAATCTCAAATCTGCTTTCTGTTGTAGGAGGGTGCCAGGTGAACACTCTCCACCAGGCTCTTTTTCTATCCATATGTGAGCCCCTTAATCACTCAGGCCACCAGAGACCCAGATTTGACTTTGTGAGAGCCTGGGCCTCTTCCCTCTCATCCTTATCTGTATAACCAGGACCATAAGAACGTCAGTGACATGGATGGACTTGGACATCAAGGTCATTACCAGCTCTCACACCACCTGCTCTCTACCACCTTCGTGCATTCGTTCACATCATCAATTCACTGAACTTCCATCTGCTCACTGTCCACCACGCCCCATCTCTGTGCCTGACCCTGAGCTGGGGGTGCTGTAGCAACAGCTGCCAACAGGTCAGATGCTGGCCCAGTATTCCTGGCTCTGTAACTCTGTGCTGCAACAATGTCTCGTGTTGTCATTCACTGAGTAACCACTTATTTATTGAGTGTCCATTTGCTCTTTTTTTTTTTTTAGCAGCGGGTGACTTAACCACTGAGCCACATCCACAGCCTTATTTATTTTTTATTTTGAAACGGGGTCTGGCTAAATTGCCCAGGCTGGCCTCAAACTTGTGATTCTTCTGCCTCAGCCTCCCTAACTGGGCTTACAGATGAGCACCACTGTGCCCAACTAGCAAGTGACATTTAAGCTAAGGTAAGAACCCCCTGAGTGGGAGTTCTTCAGGGAAGAGAAGTCATTCCAGGCAAAGTCCTTGTTTTGTAGAGTGTTTAGAGACAAGTGACGTACCAGGTTGCTAAATTGTACAATAAAGGACAAATTTGTGTATATGAACCCACCCAGGCCAAGCCCTCTCTGGATTCCAATGACAGACCAAGTCAAGGACTTCCCTGAGTTCCCCCCCACTTGGAAAACCACCCACTATGGGGCATCCAGGAACAGCCTTTAGAGAACTAATGAAGCATCCTTCCCTTGTCCACCTTCCATCCTCCTGGGAACCCAGTGGGAGAACTGTTCTAGACTGAGCAGACAGCAGTAGTATTGAGGTTCCTGTCCCTAATATGCTGTGTTCATCCAGTAAATGTTTATTTAGAGTGCCTTGCTGTGGAATGGCACTGGGAGATGTAAGAAATGGCACTGGGAATGCCCCAGACACTGGGATACAGTAAGAAATAAGAGCTGGCATCTACTGTACAGGGGCTCTCGAATGGCAAACAAGAAAACAGAAGCTGTAAAGACTAACAGGAACATGTCTGTAATTGAACAAACTGGGGTTCTGGCTTGTTACAGGAAGGAAGGCCATATTTATCTCAGGCAGAGGCTGTTAACAGGGCTTGAAATAAGATTTGGGTTTGTATAAGGTGACTTGTGAAAGTATGCTTTTGTTCTGGTTTAGATGCTGTCAGGAAGTGAGGACAATTCTATGATCAGATATCTTAATAAATATTTATATTAGATTTGCCAGAGAAACAACCAAGAGAATGTATTTATTATAAGGTACTGGCTCATGGGATCATGAAGACTGACAAGTCCTACATCCGCAGGCTGAGTCAGGAAGCTGGAGAGACACCAGGGTTGATGATGTAGTTCTGGTCCCAGTTGGAAGGCCAAGACCCCAGTCTGAAGTCTGGTGGACAAAAGCCAATACTGGATCCCAGTTCAGAAGCCATCAAGCAAGAATTCTGTCTCCTTTGTAGGAGGGATGTCTTGTTCCATTCAAGGTTTTAACTGATTGGATAAGGGCCACATATTAGAAGGATATACTCAGTCTACCAATTTAAATATTAATCTCATCCAGAAACACACAGACACACCCAGAATCATGTTTGACCAAATATTCAGGAACTCCATGACCCAGTCAAGTTGACATGTAAAATTAATGATAGCCAGGCACGGTGGCACGTGCCTCTAATCCAAACGACAGGGAGGGAAGCTGAGGCAGGAAGATCACAAGTTCCAGGCCAGCCTCAACAATTTAGTAAGACCTTGTCTCAAAAATAAATAAATAAATAAATTAAATTAAATAAAAAGGGCTGGGGATGTCACTCAGTGGTAATGTGTCCCTGGACTCAAGTCCCAGTAACAAAAATAAATAAAAATAAAATTGGTCACAATATGTAAAAGGAAAGGAACGAATCAGGGCTGGCGCAGGTAAGAAGCCGCAGTTACAAGTATTAGCTGGAGTGGGAAGATGTGGGTCTCTTTCTGGTAGGAGCAATATTCTTGCTTTCGCGAGTTTGGACAGGACTGCGGAGCGCTCTAGGTCTCCCTCCATCACAGTCCCAGGAAGGCCTTGTGCGATGTGGGTGTTCTGTGGAGTTAATTACGTTCAACAGAACCTCAGGCCTAGCTGTAAACGTCTGGCCGGTCCCCAGACTGGAGGGGCGGCTGTTCTCTTCCTGGTAAAACAGCCTCATGCCCTCGGCTGAGGAATTCCAAGGTGACAGAGGACATCCGGCTCCCAGTTTTCAGGAAGCTCAGTGACATGTTTGCGCCGTCTTATATAAATGGAGATTGTTGCAAATGGGAGTTCGGGGACCCACGGACCTGCCAGGACAAAGCCCAGAGGCGAGGGGAGCGCGGCGGGAGCAGGAGCTGAGAGCCCTCTGCAGCACGGTGCCCGCTGGAACTGCAGAGGTCGGCCCGGACCACTCGAGCGTGAGGGGCCACCTCGCCCCCAGAGACGTGGGCGTCCGGCCGCACAGATTTGTTCAGAAACAGGAAATGAAATCAAGCCGCTTGGATCAAAATAAACCAGACCAGCCTCGGGCTCATGAATATTCAGCAGGCCACTTCCGTTCTGCGACTCCGCCCCGGCCCGCGGCCACGCCTCCCGCGCACGGAGACTGCGCATGCGTCTCTGGCTCTGTCGTCATAAGGGCGCGCCGCGGTCTTCGCTCGCCCAGGAAGTGGGAGAGTTGCTATGGCGAGTCCGGCCGCCTCGTCTGTGCGACCGCCGAGGCCCAAGAAAGAACCGCAGACGCTCGTCATCCCCAAGAATGCGGCGGAGGAGCAGAAGCTTAAGCTGGAGCGACTCATGAAGAACCCGGTGAGAGGAAGCGCGGGCTCCGCGGCGCGTCCGAGGCCCACCCCTCTCCGCTCCGGCGCCTCTGGGGGTCCGCGCACCCCTATCCCCCGCCGCCAGACTCGAGGTCTCGGCACCCTAATTCCAGAGCAGTCCTTGGGAACTGTCCCGGAAGAGATGGCGAGCTTCCGTCTGTCCTTGTTTAGAAACCTGCCTGAAGGTGCTGCGGAAGGCTTCACGCTTTTCGGTTGACTTTCCGAGGACAGAAGCGTTAGACTGAAGGTGGAAGCTGTGAGTTAGCAAAAGGGCTTGTTTGTTCCAAAGAGCACTCACGGTTAGAGAGGGGGCAGCCAGAACACCTGTGCAGGTCGTGCCTTAGTCCCTCGCGCACCCGTCCAGGCCTCGCTTCCCCAGGTCCTAAAAACAATCGGATGAGACGGTCCATTTCCTGGACCTTTGACTAGAAAAGCTCGGTTTTCCTCCTTGAGTAGTGCTCAAGTCGGAGGTTGCTGGCCATTAACGGTGACAGGTTTCTGAGTTCTGCCCTGGAAAGTGTAGCCCTGGGAAGTCTACGGCATGAAATAAAGGCAAGGCGGAAAATCAGCTCCGGGTCTGAGTAGCAAAGCCTACCCTCTTCGCTAGTCTTTGGTTATAAGAGATGGAAGTTTGTCAGCAGGTTTATACTTAACAGATGCTTTCCTGTTTAAATATTGCAGGACAAAGCAGTTCCAATCCCGGAAAAAATGAGTGAATGGGCACCTCGACCTCCCCCAGAATTTGTCCGAGATGTAATGGGTAATGTCCTTTATCTGTGTGTATAAATAAATTTAAAGGTAGATATATATACACACACACACCACACACACGTATATCTCCTGAAGTATTTGTTAAATAGATCTTTGGTAAGAAAAAAATGTTCAGTGGTCCAGAATTTTGTTCTTACAGTGATGAGGTACAGTTGCTTATGATTTGGCACTAGACAACTTTCTTCTGTGATCTTTTTTTTTTTTTTTAATTAAAAAATATTTTTTTGTAGTTGTAGGTGAGTGGAATGCCTTTGTTTATTTTTATATGGTGCTGAGGATCGAACCCTCTCGCATGCTAGGCAAGTGCTCTACCACCCAGCCCCAGCCCTCTTCTGTGTTATTTTTAATAACACATTATATTTTTTCTAAATGGAAATATTTTTATTATTTTGATGGATTATAAACTAACATGCTAATTATAAATAGAAACAAGTAATACATAGAGATATAAAGAATTTATTCATATTTAATTCTGCTTGAAGCGTTTTGATAAAGCTTTCCAAAACCTCTTTATCATCAACATCACTCATTTAAGAAAAAAATGCTTTTATAAGAATACAGGTGTTCTGCACATACTATTTTTTAATCTCCATCTTTTTACTTAAAATATCGTGGACACCTTTCCAACTTGCTAGAAATCTAGCAGCCAAATGTGAAATAATGGAGGGCTTGGGGAGGTCATTTTCTTCTAGATTTTGGTCTTTAAATCACAGTTGTTCCTCCTTGATAACATGTTAGAATGGAATGTTTAGTGATTTCATAGTCAACATTCACACAACAATTTAATGGTGCCTGTGACATGTCAGACCCTTCATTTGCTCTGGGGTATAAGTGGAAAAAGGCAGGCATGGTACCTTCCATTACTTCCTGCTTTAACTTCAGTCCCTTTTAGTTAAGGATGGCCTGTGTTGGTAACTGGATTTCATCTGGAACTCTGGGTCATTCTGGCTCTAGGTTCAAGTGCTGGGGCTGGCAGTGGAGAGTTCCACGTGTACAGGCATCTGCGCCGCAGAGAGTACCAGCGACAGGACTACATGGATGCCATGGCTGAGAAGGTGAGTGAGCCAGGAGCTGGAGCCCCCTAATATGGGGTTACGTACTTTTACAGCCTTTAGGGGAAAAAGTTCAAAGAAGTGTACACATGCAGCTGGTGGTACTTTGCATAGGGTTTGCCTTACACAGCATGGAAAGCAGAGTCCAGGCCACTCCTAGGTCAGACTCAGTGCAGCAAAATGGCCACCCTAGGAGAGGAGGGAGGCATGGAGTTTTCCATTTGTATAGAAGGGCACTGGAGAGTCGCCTCTCCCCTCCAGGCCATCTGACATGAAAAGGAATGGCAAGCCAATTCTCTCTTATTCTTTCTCAGCTGATGCCTGTGTGCAGTTAGTTGTTTTGTGTGAATGGTGTTGTGCTTTCTATTTGTCGTCTTCATTGAAGTTTTGGGTTTTCTAGCTTTAGGGCTGGCGTTTCTTCATGACAGAGGTCAAATGATTTTTTTTAAGAGCTTGAGAATTTTTTAAGAAATTGTAATTTAAAAACCAGGTGTGATGGTGCACACCTGTAATCCCACTACTTGTTGGTCTGGAGCAGAAGGATCCCTGAACCCATCGTTTCAGGCCAACCTAGGCAACTTAGTCGTAATTTCAGGGAAGTGGGGGAGAACCTTTAAACTGGAACTGAAGATGTAACTCAGTGGTAGAGTGCTTGCCTGACATGCACGAGGCTCTGGGTTCCATCCCTAGCACTATAAAAAAGAGTGCAAGATGGGCTGGGGTTGTGGCTTAGAGGTAGAGTGCTCACCTAGCATGCGTGAGCCACTGGGTTCCATCCTCAGCACCATAAAAATAAAATAAAGATATTGTGTCCACCTACAACTAAAAAATATTTTTTTTAAAAAGTGCAAGGGAGAACCATTAAACATTTTGGTGTTTTTCTTTCCCCCGCATCCCCCAAAGAACCCAGAGAGTTGCACATGTGAGACAAGTGCTCTACTACATCTCCAGACCCCACTCGACATTTGTAATTTCTCAAAAGTAAGGAAGCCATTCTTTTAGTCAAGAAAAGAAAGGCAGCACATTTTTTTTGTGTGCAATTGCTAGGAACAGAGAGGAGTCACAGCAGAAAAGAAAGTAGTGAACCACATTCTTTGAAAAATTGAGACAAACTGGACCCACATTGTATCTTTTTTAAAAAGACATGAAAATTGTCTGAATGCACAAATGTTCATAATGCTAGCACATACACGTACCAAAGGGTGTTGATTAAAACAACAACAGCAGCAAACAACTCCTAGGGCCTGCTGTGTTCTGGTGGTGATGTTCTCAATGCTAGTGGGAAGTTTTGGCTGTCTTGTCACACCTGTCCCAGCTCACTGCAGTAGGTTTGCCGTTGTCAGAAATAATGCTCTGGGGACTGGGATTGTGGCTCAAGTTGTAGAGCACTCGCCTAGCATGCCTGAGGTCCTGGGTTCGATTCTCTTTTATTTTATTTTAAAAATAAAATAAAAATATTGAGTCCACCTAAAACTAAAAATTAATATTAAAAAAGGAATTATGGGAGGCATTTTTATTTTTAAATTACTTTAGGAGGGAGGAAGTAGAACAGGTTGTTGTCCCAAGCACCATAAATTAGTCTGAAGTTGTTATATAAAGATCCAGAGAAAATACTGGAAAATGTTGCACAAACTTGACATCCATACAGATGCAAAGGTTTTTATTTCAGGCATCAAAACATAAGCTCTAAACTTTAAAAACATAAAAGAGGCAGGAGAATATGCAACCTTTTTCAGTGACTGATAGGACAACACCCCAACAGAGCTGGTCTCAGGTGTGTCAGCCACCAGTGCTCCGTGAAGTTCACTCACTAGTAAATTCAAGGGCTTTTGAATTTCTTCCCTCTTTCTCTTTCTGGTTGTCCTCTCCTTGAGGCTCATTTCCTTCTTGAAGGGGCATCTTCCGCTCTTAGCTTCTGTTACTTGGTTTCAGTTTCCTCCTGTGCAGATCCACACCCCCTCCAGGGCAGATAGCAGCAGCAACGAAGGCACCTCTTCCTCCTGTGCTGGCTCCTTCTTTGCCTCCTCAACCTTTAGGCAATGACTAGAAGAAATGAAAGACGGCACTTTGTATTGTTCGCAGGTGCTTTTCTGTGATCGATTTCATTATTCTTCCAAACAGTGCTGGCAGAAAGGACTTATAGTTTCTCTCCTTTTATAGATGAACAAATTGAAACTTGGAAAGAAAACTGGGAAGAAGAATTCAGTGTGGACGTGTATACTGTGTGTTTGTGTGTGTGTGTGTGCGCGTGCGCACAATAGCAAGTGATGCTGCTAGGATGAGTCATTTAGTAACTGTTGCTAAGGTTAGGACTTGAAAATTCCTTCTAGCCATTGTTGTGCTGCACTCTGGTCAGTGGGCAAGGTGCTGGCCGAGAGACAGTCTTTACTGCTGCTGTCCTCAAGGAGTCCTCCACACGCCTTCTCTAGTTTTCTCTTTTGTATTTTGTTGTGCATGAGTCTGCCCAGTCCAGAGTATATCTAAATAATGTGGGGTTTTTGTAGCAAAAATTGGATGCAGAGTTTCAGAAGAGATTGGAAAAGAATAAAATTGCTGCAGAGGAGCAGACTGCAAAGCGTCGGAAAAAGCGGTAAGCACATCATGTCATCATGTCATTTGAGGGCGGGTTGGGGGGGGGGTGTCAGAAAGTGGCTGGCTGATGAACGGGCAAGTCTTGTACTCAAGGTTCACCTGTGTGGCCAGCCATGGTGGTGTGCGCCTATAGTGCCAGCTGCTGGGCAGCTGGCGCTCACTGTTGATTGTAGCCTTTCTCTGGGTGTTGATTCCCAGGGCTGGGCTGCCCAGAGGCAGTAAAGTGTAGTTTGTGCTTCTGGCTCACAGGCCACTGAAGAAATGGAGGAGGATCACTTGAGCCTAGTACTTGAAGGCCAGCCTGGGTAGCATAGCCAGATCCCTCAAAGAAATTTAAAAATTTATTCTGTGTGACCTACAAAGTGGTGGGTGTGAATGCCCTAAGGCAGAGCCTCCAGGTAGAAGATTGCCTTCTTTTCTTACCTGGGGAGAGGGCGAGTCCCTCATTGCCCCCCTGCTTAGTTCAGATTCCCCAAATACTAGAGATCTGGACTTTTGTGAGCACACGGATTACTTTGTCTCCTTCAATTCTGCCCTTTAACACTGAATTTATGAAAGTGCTGTAACCAAACTTCCCCTTCAGCTTGTTCCTTAAATGAAAGTCTGACCTCTTCAAATGACTGCATGGTAGTACAAGCTGTGTGTGTGCTTGCAGGGTTCTAAATAAATTGTCCTTCAATTTGTAGGGAGCTGAGCAGGATTTTAAAAACAGTCCATACAACTTCACATGAAAATGTATCTCCAGTATTTCTTTTTCTTTTTCTTTTTTTTAAATATGGTTTAGTTGTCAATGGACTTTTATTTTTTTTTATTTATAAGTGGGCTGAGAATCAAATCCAGTGCCTCACACATGCTAGATAAGTGCTGTACCACTGAGCCACAAACCCAACTCCTATCTCCAGTATTTCTGAGATTGCTTTAGTCACCTCAGGACTCCCCAGGATTTGATCCTGACTCATGATGAAAATAGTTTTAATGTTGGAATGGCAGAACCATAAGAGATTATTCCTTTTCTTTTTTTTAAGACTTTATTTTATTTATTTTTATGTGGTGCTGAGGATCAAACCCAGTGCTTCACACATGCTAGGCGAGTGCTCTACCACTGAGCCACAAGCCTAGCCCCTATTCCTTTTCTTTCTTTCTTTATTTCTTGGTACCTGGAATTAAACTCAGGGCCACTTAACCACTGAGCCACATCCCCGGCCCTTTTTATTTTTTATTTTGAAAAGGGTCTCACTAAGTTGCTTAGGGCCTTGCTAACTTGCTGAGAATGGCCTCGAACTTGTGATTCTCAGCTTCCTGGGTCACTGGGATTATTGGCCTGTGCCATTGCGCCTAGCTGAGTTTTTCCTTTATTTTTTTATTAAAGTATTTGTGTTGTAGTTTTTGTTTTGTTTTGTGTTTGAGATGGAGTCTGACTGGGACTACAGGGTCATGCCACTGTGCCCAAATGTTAACTTTTTTGTTTTTCTCATTTTTAAATTTTTTTGGTACTGGGACTTGAATTCACTTAACCACTGAGCCACATCCCCAGCCCTTTTTATGTTTTATTTTGAGACAGGGTCTTGCTGAGTTGGTTGGGGCCTTACTAAGTTGCTGAGACTGGCCTTGAACTCTGATCCTCCTGCCTCAGCCTCCCAAGTCTTTGTGATTTCAAGTATGTGACACTGCACCCAGCTTCCAACTATAAGGTTTTTAAAGAGCTATAAAAGGAGGCTGGGGCTGGGGCTCATGCAAGAGCACTTGCCTGGCATGTGTAAGGCACTCAGTTTGATTCTCAGCACCACATATAAATAAAGGAATAAAATAAAGGTTCATCAATATTTTAAAAAATGGGGGGCTATGAATAAGTGTTTATTTTGTAAAATATATAGCAAGATAGTTAAGGAATCAGCATGTGTGTTTTTTGTTTGTAGCCAGAAGTTAAAAGAGAAGAAACTGTTGGCAAAGAAGATGAAACTTGAGCAAAAGAAACAAAAAGAAGGTGAGTGGTATCCACTTCTCCTTGGTTGTAGCCTTTCTCTTGGTGTTGATCCCAGGCCTGAGCTGCCCAGAAGCAGAAAAGCATAGGGTGTGGGGCTGGTTGGCTGGCCACTGAGGAAGTGGCAGCTTATTTGTGTTAGGATTCATTTAATTATAAGTATCAGAAAACAAACTGGCTTAAGCAGAAAAGAAAGACCCTGGCTCTTGTTCAGTCCAGGGCAGACCTCCCTTCAGGTAGGACTGGGGCAAGAGCTCAGTGGCATTACTGATCAGTGTTGTTTCCTCTTGGTCCTGACCTCCTGGCCTCCTACAAGCTTGTGCCTTGTGATTGTGAAGTGCCTGCAACTGCTCTCCAGGGTACATCCTGCCTCTTTATGGTCCAAGAAGAAAGGTTGAGGGACCATCCCAGTGTTCCTAGCAGAAATCTTGTGTTTCTTTGTCTCCAATTAAGTCATACTTCCAGTCAGTTAAGAATGCTTAACAGTGCTTTAACAAAGAGTAGTTTGTTTCTCTAACATGATAAGAAATCTGGTGGTAGATGTCAGTCTGGTGGGTTCAACACTCTTGCAATTCTCTTGGCCTTTGTCCTCAGTGTGTGAGATGGCTGCATGGCTCCTGCAATTATACCTATGTTCAAAGCAGAAGGATAGAGAGATGGTACTTGTCTTTTTTTTTTTTTTTTAACTAGAAAGCAAAAAGTCCCCCAGAAGGGCCTGGAGAAGTAGCTCAGTGGTAGAGTGCTTTTTTCTGGCATGTACAGAAACTCTGCATTCAATCTGGTACTACCAAAAAAAAAAATGTCCTCAGAAGTGTCCTGCAGAAGTCACCTTATTTATTTACTAGGTCACTTTGCCATCCCTAGCTGCCCTCATGTAAGGTGAATAGAAAATAGAATTGTCATAAATCCTTTAAACTATTCATCATCATCACTGGGAGCTGGTTACTTTGCCCCCACCCCCCCAGACATTCTCTTAATAAGGAGGAGTGGGGTGGGTGTTGGGCAGCGTCCACCGTGCTCCAGTCCTGCTTGCTTCTGAACCCATCACAAAGGCCTGGGAGCCATAGGCTAAGAGTGAAGGAGAGATGGGCCTCAGGTAGAAAGGGCCAGGGATGCTAAGGGACAAAAATGACCCCAGTTTGCTGTGTTTCTACATTGGTGTCTGTGCTGTGAGTGACTGGATTCCTGCATAAACCACTGAGGGTGTTAGCTTGGGGTACAGTTGGGCTTTCCTTAACAGGTGAAATATGATTGACCCCTTTTAGGACTGGCTTCCTCATGAGTTGTACTATGTGACACATTATGATGTTTTTAAACTGTGTGACTGCTCTGTCCTCCCACAATTCCTCAAATTAACCAGCAGGTATTTTCTTAGCCCTCCAAGGAGAAGGAGTGGGCATAACCGCGGGTCTTAGTTCTGTTGGTGGGTTGTAGCTTGACCCTGTGTTAGGAAATAGTTCTCCTTCATGCAGGATAATTTGCCCCGCCCTCTGGGATGTGCTGTTTTTGCTGCTTATTGTCATTGTTGAGTTTCATATTTAGTGACTTCCTGAACTAATTCTGTAAAGCCTGTGTTCTTTGTTGTGTGTGATCACTGAAGTTTCTGCTTGGTTAACTCAGTGGTCAGCCGGAGAGTAGATATTTCTTTAAATGCCTTGAACCAGTACGTCTCCCAGCCTTTGCTGAGGGCTGTGTGTGTTGGAGCATGGCTTCGGCGCCCTGGCAGGGCTTTGCAGATTACCTTTGCCTCTATTTCCTGCTTGCACATAGCCCCAAGAACAGCAGAGTGAGAAATTAGGGCCTTTGTATAGCCTGTGCATAGCCTTGTGCATGTGTGTGGCCCTCAAGTGTCCCAGCTTCTCCTCTTAAGCTTTTTGTTCATTTCGTCTTTGCTTCAGCTGTTATCTCTGCCTCAGGGAGTCGAAGTGGTAAGTGGCTGCCACTGATTGCTTCTGACAAACACCCAGAGGAAGAAGCTCTTCACACTGAGTGAACTCTCGAGTCAAGACAGCTCAAAACAAGCCTTGCGAGAAGTTTTCTGGGAGCTGCTAGACAGGTCAAATAGGGACAGTGCTCAGGTTGGAACTTTGAGACGCTCTCAACCTGGTTGGTTTATTTGTTGATTAATTGATAAATACTGGGAATTGAACCCAGGGGTACTCTACCACTGGGCCATATCCTCAGCCCTTTTTACTTTTATTTTTACTTTGAGACAGGGTCTGAGTTTCCCAGGCTAGCCCCAAACATAATCCTCCTGCCTCAGCCTCCTGAATATCTTGGGTTAAGGTGTGCACTACCCACCAAGCAAAAAGTTGATTTTTAAAAATAATCTTTGCCAGTATTCTTGTTGCTTTTCTGGAGGAGCTGATTTTTGGAGGTCATTAGTGTGCCGTTCTGGAAGTGCTCTCATCTTCTTGAATCTTAACCCACCTATGCCATTACTTTTGAAGTGTCATTCTGTGTGCATGGTGGGGGGGGGGGTGTTAAGGATGGAAAGGCTGGAACTCAGGCCTTGCTGGGCAAGTGCTCTGTGTCTCAGCAGCACCCCCGGCCCTGTTGTGTTTTAATTCTATCCATTTTTATAGCTGTTATGACTCTAGGGGATGTTAAGCACATACTGCTGTCACGTTCTGCTTAGATCTGCTTAGAGCTTTCCATCACTTATGTTCTTTTACCCTTAGTTACATCTGCAGACATTGAAAATGTAATCAGATGGTGTTACTTTTTTCAATATTTTTATTAGTTGTTGATGGACCTTTATTTATTTATTTACTTGTGGTGCTGAGAACTGAACCCAGTGCCTCACACAAGCTAGGCAAGCACTCTACCGCTGAGCTCCAGCTCCAGCCCAGATGATGTTATTTTTACTTTCAAACATATTTTAAAGACCTCAAGAGGTACTAACCAATGCATACTGTGTGCTCTTCTTCCCTGGTCCCTGATGCTCCAGGTGTCCCTCTGGTCTGTTTCCTGTGAAGGTCTTCCTTCAGTTGTTCATTCGAGCAGGTCGCTGGCTGTGTTTCCGTGGCCTTTCTTCCTGTGTTTTAAGCAGATGCGTTAGAGAATCTGATAATTCCAACTGGCGTTTGTTAGTTGCCTTTTCCCTACAAGTTGAGACTCTGCGGATTCTTCATAAGCTGAGTATTTTTCTCTGTGTCTTGGATGTTTTGAATAGTGTGCAGTGAGGCTTCTGGGTCTCATTGATATTTGTCCAGCAGGCAGTCAACCTCGTGTGTCCAGAACTCGGGTACTTCCCCGCCCTCTGTGGGTTGTGGTTCCTCTGACAGATCAGCTTTTGGAGTTTGCTGTGTTCTCCAGACGTGCCTTGCGTGTGCCACCCAGTGGCCACTTTGGGTTTGATTCTTTGAGTCCAATTCTTAGAGCAATTGACTTGACATTCAGGAGGGAGACAGAGACGAAAAGCAACAGGCGACTCCCTTAAAACCTGGTTAGAAAGAAATGCTCTCCTCTGTCAGAGCTCCAGTGCTCGCACACCCCTTCTCCACTGCTGCCACCAGGGCCTACAGGATTGCCTGGGAACTAGGGTCTGAGAGAAGGGGAACGGTGCGCCCACCCCTAGGCCAGGAGTCCCTTGCTTACCTCAGCCAGACTGCAAGGATTCTTTGGAGCTTTGTCTGCGCCCATCTCTAATTTTGGGTTCTGGGTCACCTTGAGTCCAGGCTTGAGGGATACTGGACAGAGAAAAGCAACAGCAGGAGATTCACAGCTTGCAGTGGCACTCTGTGTGTTGCTTTTCTTCCCCAGTTTGCTTATTTTTCAGAGTCTGTATTCTGTCCAGCTGCCATAGCCATACCCAGAAGGAGAGATGGAACTGAATGCGTTCCCTCCATCCCACCTAGAGCCTCCGATTGGCTCATTTTTTTCCCCCTGGGGATTGAACTCATGGACACTTGACCACTGAGCCACATCCCCAGCCCTATTTTGTATTTTATTGAGAGACAGGGTCTCACTGAGTTGTTTGGGACCTCACTAAGTTGCTGAGGCTGGCTTGAACTCTCGATCCTCCTGTCTCAGCCTCCTGGGCTGCTGGAATTATAGGCATGCACCACCACTCCCAGCTACATTGCCCATTTTTAAATTGGGCTTCTTGTTGTATTGCATTTTAGGAATTCTCTATTTTCTGGATATTAATCCTTATCACATACATATATTTGCAAATATTATCTCCCATTCTGTGGCTTTCCCTTTAACTCTGTTAATACTGACTTGTGACGCATAAAATTTGTGAGTGTTCATGAAGTCCAGTTTGTCTTATTTCTTGTTTTGTTGCCTGTGCCTTTGGCATCATTTCCAGGAAAGAACATGGTTTCTTACAGCCCCTTTCCTGATGCTTTTAGACATCAGGTGCATGCAGCTGTGTGATTTTCAGTCACTGTTCTTTAATTTGGTCCAAGACTGTGAAGAATGTTCAAGACCATACAGCTTTTGGGTAGACTTCCTTTAGAGCCCACAACAGCTATGGGTCTCCTCTACCCTGCACTTCGGGGCTTTCTCAGAAAGAGATGTTTGTGCCAGGCATGGTGACACATGCCTGTCATCCTAGGTGCTGCGGAGGCTGAAACAAGAGGATCAACACAAGTTGAGGCTAGCCTGAGCAACTTAGTGAGACCCTGTCTCAAAATAAAAAGAAGTTGGGGATGTGGCTCAGTGGTAGAGGACCTCTGAGTTCAATCCCCAGTGCCCCACCCCCTGAAAAAAGAGAGGTCTATGCACATGTCCCATCCTGGAGTCACATGATGGGCTACCTGTTCTCAAGCTGAGGCAGGCTAACCTCTTTTTATCACTGGGGCATGAAATTATTTTGGAGGTTGCAACAACCTTTTATAAATTATGGATGAATAGACTGGAAAATATTACTCTGAGTAAATGTTGTTTTCTGAAATTCTTCCCATTTCTGTGTGGGCTCTGGGCTTCAGTCAAACAAAGGCAAAAGTCATTGGTAGGGAGCATGGTCCCACTTTTATACTTAATTGGGACCATAGCACTTTACAAAGCAAGAAGTTTAGTACAACGTGGCTGTACGTGTGCTGTATCAAATGAGCAGAGTGTTGTAGGAGTAACTATCACAGAATGGTTTGTAAGCCCTTTACATCGCCTTTTTGATTTCATTCTGTATTTTGTCCAGTTGAAATGAATAGAAATTCAGGGGGTAATCCCCAGTGATGCCACAAGATAGTACTGAGGCGCCACTGGGTTCCTGATGGATTTGGAGGGGGCTCCGCTACTCACGCTCTTTTGGCTCCTCTGAAAAGCAGTGATGGTCAGTGACAAGGAGTTCTCTTCTATTGTTGGAGAGAAGCTCTCCCTGCTTGTTTTCTGTGCTCATCCAGTAATTCAGCCAATACACCTGCTGTGCGAGACTCACGTCTAAATGACACCACTGGGTGACATTAAACCGGTTTAGATTATTCTGAAGCCTTGAACTCCCAAAGTGGCCCATTGTAATACCAGCGTTCCTTATCCTAACGAAGGCCTGTCTGCCAGGGAAATCCAGGGTAGCCTTAAGGGGAATTGAGTAGGCACACTCGGGGCATTTCTCAGCCTCGGCACTGTGGGTATCTGGGGCAGGATTACTCTTCTTTGGGAGGGGCTCTGTTCTGTTCATGACAGGATGGTGTTTTTTTTGTTTGTTTTTTTTAAGTTGTAGATGGACACAATATCTTTAATTTATTTATTTCTTTTTACATGGTGCTAAGGATCGAACCCAGTGCCTCCCACATTCTAGGCAGGTGCTCTACCACTGAGCTGCAACCCCAGCCCTGGTTTGGTTTTTGAGACAGAGGTCTCTGTGTTGCCCAGGCTGGACTCCAGCTCCTGAGCTCAAGCAGTCCTCCTGCCCCAGCCTCCCAGGTTGCTGGGACTGCTGGCCGGCACACCACACCTGGCCTCAGTCTGCTTTAGTCTCTCTCCGAGTACATGTTTATATGTAATTGCAACATTTTTTCATTTGCTTATTTTATTTAATACTGTATTTCTATTCCTTCATAATTTTTTCAGTGATTGATGATATCCGATAGTTGACGTGCTGTAGCAACCCTTCTCTTTTTATTAGACATTAGATTGATTCATTTTTGTTTTCTGTAGAAGACACTTAAAGTCAAGAGCATGTGCCTGTCTCCTTGCTTCTTTTGGGAGGCATAAATTAACATAAATTCCCAACAGTAGTGATTAGTAGCTCAAAGCATAAAAAGAACTCATGGCTCTTGAAATCTTTTGCCAGCTACTTTCCAAAGGAATAGTACCAGTTTTTATGGCCATGAACCATGTGCAGCAGTGAGTACTTTTGCCCTGTCCTTGCTGGGACTAGCTTTTAGAAACTCTTCTTCCTCTTTGTGGACAAGAGCCATATATATGAGAGGAAATCAAATTCTCATTGAGGATTTGTTAAAATTATTTTTAAAATATAGGTAGAGGGTTAAGGGTATAGCTCAGTGGTGGAGTGCTTGCCTAGCAGGCCTCAGGTCCTAGATTTGATTGCCAGTACTGCAAAAAATATGCAGTGTGCACATACGTACGCATGTACTCATCTGTACATAGAAGCCGTGCTGTCTCCATTCTCCGCACCGCCCCCACCTCTGTACAGCTCCAGAGGTCTCCTATAAAACAGGTTGGACTGTCACTTTTTCTGCTTATGGAACGTTTATTACATATTTGTGGTTCTAAGTACTTTGCACATGTTAACTGGCTTGGTCCTCACGGCCCTGTGAGGTGTTCAGTGGTTACCTGAATTTTGCAGTTACCTAGTGATAATGGTGGCACCTGCAGAGCTACAGTGGGGATGGGCATTGGGCCAGGATTTGATCCCAGGTGTCCGTACTTGCCCATGAGGTAACCCAGCTTGAAACTCAGCAGCCCCGTCACGGTCAGGCCCCTTCTTGTCTCTCCACCACTTTGCCTTCCGCAGGCCTCTGCCCTGCCGAGCCTACTCCTCTGTCCCTCAGCCTTGCTGCATGTGGTCACTGGGCATGATCCTTTTCACACTCTCTGACTTCCGTGTGTCTGGAGAAGTGCTCATCCTTCGCCTTTCTCTCTGTGCACCCCTCCCTCAGGGGTGCCGTGGGGCTCTGGTATCCACCTTGCCCACCTCCACGGGGTTGGCACACACTGGGTTACAGACCCACTGAGCACACGGCTTGCTTGTCCATAGCCACCAGCACTCGTCTCAGGTCCTGCTCTTTTTTTTTTTTTTTTTTTTTCAGTTGCGGATGGACACAGTCGCTTCATTTATTTTTATATGGTGCTGAGGATCAAACCCAGTGCTAGGCAAGCGCTCTCTCAGGTCCTGCTTTTTCTTAAGTAATTTTCTTTCTTTCAGAATCGCTTTGGATAATGTAGGACAATGGCAAGGATAACACAGGGTTCTCACACACCCAGTTTCCCCCCACTGTTTTAACGACTCATTAACGGGGTATGCTTGTCAGCATTTGAACCAGTGTGATGATTGTAGTAGCCATAGCCAAGGCCCTATTCTGATTTCCTTCATTTTTAACCTGAAGCCCTCTTCCTTTTCCAGAATCCAGCCTGGACTCCAACCACGTCTAATCACCACGTGTCCTTAGGCTCAGTTGGCTGTGATAGTTTCTCAGACTTCTTTTGGGTCAGGACTGTAAAATGTCTGTCAGTCAGGACTTGCCAGTGTTCTCCTCGTGGCTGTGGAAACGCTGTGTAGTCGGGAGGAAGAGCAGAGGTCAGGTTCCTCTGTAACAGGGAAAGTCGCCCTGTGCAGCCCACGCTGATGGGGGGGCCCAGCTGTGCCCTCGTCTGTGATGGCAGGGCCTCTGCAGGCCGTTTCTGCACAGGGTGGGGGGTCCTTTCTCCTCCCTTTACATCAGGGTGGACTCGTGGGTGTTGATTTATACTTCAGGTTATGATCCAGCACTGCATTATTTATCTCATTCACAAATGGTTCCAGCTTTGGCTGTTGGGAGTGCTTTCACTTGGCCTCTGTCCCTTTACAGATCCCATTTCTGTGGGCTCTCCCTGCTCCTCTCCAGCTCTCCCGTCCTTTCTTGCAGACCCTGTAGTCCACACCTGTCAGGCACATGGCCTGCCTCACTCAGAGTCAGCCACTTTCCTAGAAGTCCTGGCTCCTTTTGCTGCAGGAATGGTATGAGAAATTGAGGTCTGGGGCAACTCAGGAGGCTGAGGCAAGAGGATCCCAAGTTCAAGGCCAACCTGGGCCACCTAGCAAGACCCTTTCTCAAAATCAAATATAAGGGGCTGGGGTGGTGGCTCAGTGGTGGAGCACTTACCTAGCATGTGTGAGGCATAGGGTTCCATTCTTGACACCACATATAAATAAAAATAACGTTCTTATCACCACCAAAAAAGTCCTGTGGCTATTTGTAACATACATTTTTTAAAATATTTATATTTGGTTGTAGCTGGACACAATACCTTTTATTTATTTATTTGTTTGTTTATTTATTTGTATGTGGTGCTGAGGATGGAACCCAGGGCCTCGCATGTGCCAGGCGAGCGCTCTACCACTGAGCCACAACCCCAGCCCCGTAACATACATCTTTTAAAAAATTAAATTTAAGGGCTGGGGTTATGGTCAGCAGTAGAGCGCTCGCCCCGCATGTGCAAGGCCCTGGGTTCGAATAAAATTAAAAAGTTATTGTGTACAACTACAAAAAAAATAAAAATATTAAAAAAAAATAAATTTAAAAAGGGCTAGAGATGTAGCTCACTGGGCGAGTACTTGCCTAATGTGCAGAAGGCCCTGGGTCTGATCCCCAGCAGCTCCTTGGAGGAGGAGGAGAGTCTGGAAACAAGTTGTCTCTGTACTGTGCTTTCAACCAGCTCAGCCACACTGTGCTCCTGGCAGCCGTGACAGGGAAAGCACTGGAAGCTCAGGAACTACTCATGGGGCGTCCGCAGAGGCCTCTGGGCCCTTGTTTGGGAAGAGGCGGGAGCTGGCATGTTTGTTGTGGGCAGAGCCTTCTGCTGTAGTTTTGAAAATCCTTTTGCTGGCTGCAGTAGATCTTGAGCCCTCTGTAGGGATGTGAGTCCAGCGTTGATTATTTAAGGAGCATGGGGTCATTCCCCTTCTGTGGGTGATAGGCACTGGTAGTAACGAGCTATACCAAAGCTTGTTTTGTGGAGTGTCGGGTTTCCTTGTGTGCTGCTGGACCTTTTGGTGAGGATGCCCCATCCCCTAAGGTCACTTATGCAATGACCCTTGCTTTGGTATGGGGCATTGGTGGGTATGATGGTGGCTGTCCAGGATCAAAGAGTTCCTGATGTCCCCTCTGTTCCCCTCCTTTTTTAAAATACTCCTGACTCTCCAAGTGGCTCTGCACGTCTGTAATCTGAATGTCATGTGGTTACAGGACCCAGTCAGTCCCAGGAGCAGCAGTCCAGTAGCTCTGAGGAGGCATCTGGAACAGAGGAGGAGGAAGACGAACCCAGCTTCATCATGAGGCGATGAGGTGCTTGCACAGCAGCCATTGGGCGCCTGGTCATTCTGTGACAGGGGCCCCAAATCTTCATTGTGACCAGAAGGAAAGAGAGCCTGTTTGGCTCAGCTGCCCAGGACTCGCTGCGTAGGGAGCACGTGGGAGCTGCTTGCAGTCCTGTTGGCAGGACTCCGCCTGGGGGACAAGGGATCATGTCCTGGAGGGCACTGCCTCGATCCTCCTTCCATGCTCCTGCTTTAGGGAAAGGCCTCATCGCTGACCGCTGGCTGCTGTTCTCTGGGATTTAAATGGCAGTGAGCTTGGGGCTGGTTTCTGTTAAGGGAATATTTATTTAGTAAAAAACAAACAAACAAACAAAAACAGAAAACCTCTAGGCGCTGTTCACATACATGGAACGTTGATCACAGAGCCGTGGAAAGGCTGTGAGGTGACACAGAGGCGGGGCCTGGAGGGCCAGTAGTCCTGTTTGCTGGTCAGCTCCCTACCCCTGCCCGGCCTGCAGCCCTGCTCTGGTGCCTGTGCTGTCGCTGGTCCCTGACCCTGTTCCTCCGCTGAGGATGCAGAACAAGCTGCACAAGAGCCACAGATCAGCAGCTCCCAGAACAAGGGAGGTGTGGGAGGGACTTCACCAGGGGCTGGGCCACAGGAACAGGCCCTGCTGGCGGAGGGCTCTTGGGAACAGTGGAAACCAGAGGATAAGCAGCGGGAGAATCCAGGCTGGGTATGGGGTCTGAGCCAAGCTGCGCTAGGGGCCAAAGCTGCATTTCCATCCTGATGTCACCAGGAATCTAAACAGAAGGGGGACTGAAGTATCCGGACAGCTGGTTGGAACTTTCCTCCAGGTCACAGGAGCCAGAGACAGAGGAGGCCAGCCCTCCCGCTGTGTCCTCAGGTGGATACAGTCCAAGCCCTGTGTGCACACCGGCCCAGGGACAAGCAGTGCAGGATGCTGTGCTGGAGCAGGGAGCTTGGGAGGTGATCAAGGACAGCTCTGATCTCAGTGTCTTCCGGAGATAACCCCACCTTTGACCACCTTTGGTGGGTGTCTTGAGGCCAGTTAGGGCAACAGAGACAGTTTGTGTTGAGAGTCTGTGCTCTGTTTTTGGATCATTTCCAGCTCCTGCGCATGTGTGTGCCTTTTATGGATTTGGGTATCAGTAAGGAAAAAGTGGTTTGAGTAAAGGGAAACAGAAGGTTTTACTTCTTTCACACAGAGTTCCCTGACCCCATTGAGAGCCATGGGACATCACTAATAACTTCTGTCCCAGGAGTTTCTCTTTCCCAAGAAGCGGAAATGAAGAGTCAGTCCTAATAAATGAACACATACCCTGGCTATGCATTTGGAAGCCTGCATTTCTCGTGCTGGGGACTGACCAGTTGGTTTTGTGGGGGTTTTTTGTTTTTGTTTTTGTTTTGTTTGTTTGTTTTGATTGAACAGAAGGGTGCTTTACCATGGAGCTAGATCCCCAGCCCTTTTTTTATTTTGAGACAGGGTCTTGCTAAATTGACCAATTGGCCTCCTACCTCAGCCTCACAAGTTGCTGGGATTGCCCGCAGGAACCCGCCTCCGTATTTCCCTGAGGAGCAGGGGTTCAGGGTTCACTCTGTAGCATTCGTGGTGCCTGTAGGGTATAGCATTGTCGCATGTGTCTGTAGGCAGGGAGTGTGTGTGTGAGCAACCTGGAGTGACAGGGACAGTTTCCTGAAGCAGGGAACTACACGTTGTCGCCCCTTGCCATAACGCTGTGTGGATACAGGACCATAGGTGTCAGCCGCCGCCAGCCCTGACTGCCCTCAGATGGCCCCTTTCCACCCCAGACCTCCACTGCTCCCCATCCCTCATGTTAACTGTCAGAGCAGGAAGAAAGGAGGCATTCAGGTCACCGTGACACTGCCACCAGCACACAGCCCGGTCTCCATTTGTCCTCCCCACTTCAGTCCAGCCCCACGTTCTCTGTTTGCTTCCACCGCTTCCTGCATCCCACTCCATGGTCTCATTGTGGTCCTCACCAGGCAGCCCTTAGTGTGGCCTGTGTAGTCTCACTCGGCATTCCTGGCGGGGCCCTGCTGGCTGGCTTCCTGCCTTTGCTTGCCTCTCAGCTCACCCTGCAGTGCTGGGGCAACCCAGTGTGCTCCTGTGTCCTGTCCAGGAGGTCTTGTCTGACTTTAGACACCGTCCTTGCTGGAACCTTGTAAGGGTGTGAACTTCCTCCCCTCAGAGCCCACTGCCTGCGAGGGCGCCCCTTCATGTCCAATGGGAGCCTCTAGCTGGTATGAGAAGAATGTGAATTTCAGCCTATCCCCCCATTTCCCCACTGTGGTGAGCTGTGCCACCATCCATACCAGCACTTGAGCCCCTCATCTGAGGGTCAGGGTCATCTTTGGTTCCTGTTTTCTTACCCCCCACCATCATCCATCAGAAGGTTCTGGACTTGCTTACTCTCTGGTCTCTCTCATTCCACACACTCCACAAACACCAGCATCTTTTGGCCACTTCTGCTTATTCCCCACCCCCAATCCATCCTCCACACAGTAGCCAGAGTCTCTTTAAAAACTGACCAGATCTTCCCTCACTGGGGATCAACAGGAGCTGCCAGGCTCTGCCGTCAGACTCAGCCTCCGCCCCCTCATCCCTGGCCATCTCCCCGGCTCCGCCAACCTTGAGTGCCCTGCACTTGCCCTGCTGTATCCTCTTAGCAGGGCCTCAGCCACATCACTTGGAGAGGACTTTCTCACCACCGCCTGTTTCTCCAGCACAACACCTGTCATTATTTCCTACCCTGCCACACCTTCAGCTCCAAAAGGACAAGGCCCTTTGCTCATTCTGGTTTTTGCTGCATCCCTAGTGCCAGCACAGTACTTGGGACATCACAGATGCTCAGTAAATGACCTTTAAATGATTGAGCAAAGCCAGGCACTGGAAGCAGAGAAGTTCTTCAAACCCAACAAACTGCAGATACAGCGGGAAGAACGTTTAGACACCAGTCAATGGTTGGTTAAAAGGGATTGTCCCATGCATGCAGCACCTGGGAGGGACCTGCTTAGAAATCCAGATACCAGGGTGATGTCCCCCAGAGATCTGATTCATTACATTTCAGGCCCAAAATATACATTTTAAGTATGAGATCCAGGAAGGCTGGCTTGGAGCACCTTAGCTACCACTACTGCTTTAAATTCACTTTTCTGTTTTTAACATTTATCTTTTGGAAAAAAATGTGAAATTGAGTTAGAGAAGTGATGTTCTACTGACCTTTTGAAACTCAGTCCAGCTCCTAAGGCCACACAGAAGGCGGAGAGACCGCATATCTGGTGATCGTGGAAACAGGCGTGTTCCCCCTTCTCCCCTTTGGAAGTTAATTTCTGTTTACTCTTTGGCATACTTGATGAAAGTGAGCTACGATTACCATATATTATCATGTATTTCCATAAAGAGCAATCTTAGAAATTAACCTGGAACAAGTCCAAAGAAGCTGTTTCTTGTTCCAGAAAATGTAGCAAATGTTTACTGAATGCAACGTGCTCAACCCAAATGATCCCAGGGTCATTGCTAGGCACTGGATATGGTGACGGTGAGTTTCCCTTCAAGCAGTCCCATACTTTGATCAGGAACAGGACCTGAGCACAACAGTGCAGAGTGCTGTGCAGGCCTCTGACCCTGCCTTCAGGAGGCAACCTGTCATTTTGTGTTGCAGGGAATAACTGGAAGGGAACAGGTGGGAAACTGGCAGTAACACAGCCCTCGGAGCCACCAGTGGCCTGAACAGAGGCAAGTTCCAGCAGGAGAATTCAGGGAGAGGAGGAGGCCAGGATGATACCAGGTTGACTATGTCACCAATGGGGGATGAAGGAATATCCCCTGGGGACATGTGGCCCAGGAGGTGGACAGGTGTGTGAGGGAAAAATGACAAAATGTTGGGCTGGGGATGTGGCTCAAGCGGTATCACGCTCGCCTGGCATGCGTGCAGCCCGGGTTCGATCCTCAGCACCACATACAAATATACATGTTGTGTCCGCCAAATACTAAAAAATAAAGTTCTCACTCTCTCTTTAAAAATAAAAAATAAATGACAAAATGTAGCTGTGGGCATGGTGACGTCGAGGGTCCCTGGGATGTGCACTGCAGAGATGTCTCCCAGGCTTAGGAGATCCGACCTAAGAGGATAGCTTGGAGTCTCGGACCAATATAAAAGGGGGAGATGTTAAAGAGGGTGAGAAAGAGATGGGAGATGGCTGGAGAGGTTGAGCAGTGAGGGAAAGGAATGGGTCTCAGCAAGGTCAGGGGAGAGCCATGGTGGGATATGAAGGGAGTAAGAAAAGTTAGAAAGTGTTTACTGAACACAAAGTGCTAAACCTAAATGATTCCAGGGTCATTACTAGGCACTTGGAGTGGGCTTTCTCCTCTTCGTGTCCAATGGAAGCCAAGTGAGTGTAATGGTTTGTCCTCCCAATTCATTCAGGAGCTTAATCCCCAAAGTTTTATGATAATAGTATTAAGAAGCTAAAAACAATCCAACTGAGTTTAAAAGTGGGGCTTTGGGAAAGAGATTAGATTTGAGGGCCCTGTGATTGAATCCCACTGACTTTGAGAGGGAGAAAGACCACACAGAGATACCCACATGCCCACTGTGATCTAATGCAGTCCGGCGGGGGGGGGGGGGGGTCTTCCCCAGAGCCTGGGCCACTGCATTTGGACCTCATACCTTCAGAACTGTGAGACAAAATAAACCTCATCTTTATAAAGTAGTCTGCCTCTGGTATTTCATTATAGTAATGGAAAACTGACTAAAACAGTGGAGTGTTTGAAATTTTACAGAGGAGCTGCCATGGGTGATGGCAAGGGCTAGGCCATAAGAGTGAATGGTCAAGGGGACAGAAGCAAGGCACCAGGGATCTGGAAACATTAGCTGTGCCAACTGTTGAGTCCATCCTAAAGGGAAAACAAGGACCTTAGTGCCACTGAGTGTGCATGGACTCAAACTGGTCTGTTTCCAAGCAGGATAGCTAAGGCCCTAGGAGAGATGGGACTTGTCCTGACCAGCCATCTAGGAAAGCAGCACAAACTGGCCAACATCCTGGCCATCAGCACTTGTGAGCCTTCACCTGAACCTCCCACTCACCCCCCTTGTGCCTGAGGACACCTCTGACTAGCAGTTTTGTGACTTAAATCTGCATTCAGTAGTGTCTTCACGTGTCCTCCCTCCATCTTCTAAGGGAGAGAAGAGCGCCTTTCATTTGGTTAGGACCTGGGCCCTGAGAGCTGTGGTGCTGCTTCTGTCTGGACATGCTGGATTGTGCTTGGGGTTGGAGGCGTCACCACCTGGCACTGGAAGCTCTAGAGGACAGCACTTCAGGCTTCCTGAGTAAGACTGAGCACTCATGCTGCCCCTGCAGAGGAATTTTCATCTATGATGCAACTACTGTATTTTACAGAATGTTTTCTTCCTCTTTTTAAGTTCATTTATCAAGAACTTGAGGTTGAGGTTTGAAAGACACAGCACGATAGCTTTATGAGGACTCTGCTCTCTGAAATTCAAATGCCCTCTTTCCTATAGCTAAGGGGCAGGGACAGTAATCAGACCCTGGGATTTTCTTATGTCATTGTTAGGGCCTAACATCCCTGTTGAGTCAGTAACCAGCGGGAGGAAACTGGTTTAGTCTGTTTTTAAGTGTCCTGGATAAAAAGGTAACATTCCTGGACCCTGAAGTGCAACTTGAAGTGTAAAGGGATTTAGCCTGGCATTTGCAACGTTTATACTCTCGCAATTGCCGGAAAACCTGGACTGGGTGACAGGAGTGGAATTTTTCTTTCGTTTGGATAAATGTGTCACGGTCGCATGCTGTTGTGACAGATGGAAAAATCCTATGTAGGGCACGCAGCAGCCTACCAGGCACGAAGGAAGGACCCTTAGGGGCCGTCTGGCACTGGCGGGTTGATATGAACCCATCCTGCCTCTCGGTGAATTATTCATGTGCACTTCCTGAAAAGAACGCTCCTGTTTGAATATCTCGGTCGTAAAACCGCAGCGCTCACCCAAGGGTGAGAGGTTCGCTGCAGAGCGCCCGAAGGGGCGGGCGGCAGCGCAGCAGCCCTTTGGTGCGGTCTGTGAGCTCTCCGCGCAGCTCCCGGGGGCCGAGGTTGCTGTGCCGGGTTAGGTGCCGGCAGGTCTCCCTGAGAGTGGGCGGTGTGACCCGAGCGACCCAGACCGGCTCGGTGCGGGCTCCGCGTGGTGCCCGCACACACCCTGGGCAAACTCGGGCGTGGCCAGGCCCTTCCACCCTTTGCCCCACCCCACCCTCCCCGGGGCAAGGGCGATGCTGGGCATCCTCGGAGGCTGTGAACCCAGGCGCTTCTCGTCAGTGCTCAGGCTCACCCACCACGGGCCGGCCCTGCCGGTCCTTGCCGTTTGATCCAGGGCCAGAGAAAGTCCAGTTCGTGAGTAGGTGGCCCGGGTGGGGCCCCGTCCTCTGACTCGCCTCGCTGCCGGCCAGTCATCCTTCACCCAGCGGAGGCGGGAGAGATGACCCCGGCTCGCAGTCTTCCCGGGGCGCAGCCCCACGGTGGTCCCGGCGGGGGAGGAGACCCCGGAGCTCCCGCCCCCCCCCCCAATCCGGCGGGTCACGTGCCCCAGCTCCCCGTGGGCCGGTCACGTGATGGCGGCGCGCCGTTGCCTTGGCAGCGGCTGCGGCGGCCGGCGGGGGCGGGGCAGCCGGCGGAGGCGGGGCCGGGGGACCCCGCGCTCCGGGCGGAAGGAGGGAGGGGGCCGCGCTCCGCGCCCGGCCGGGCCACGCCACTGGGCCACGCCACTGCTGCCTGCCGCGATCCCGGAGCGGCGCCGGGGCGGGCAGGGCAGCTCCGGTGAGTGTCGGCGCGGGCGCACCTCCTGCTCCCCCCGCCTCCGGGCGGGGGGCGCGGGGTGCTTCCCGCCCCGCTGGGGGGCCGAATCGGACCGGGGACACTGGACGGAGAAGGGACTGGCCCTGGGGAGGCTTGGGACGGAACGGAAAGAGGATGGCCGTGGGGGTGGGGGCGGCCAGGTGGCCAGTCCCGCGGGATTCCGAGCATGGTGAGGTGCCCAGAGGATTCGGAAGTTGCGGGCACCGGCCGAATCCGGGGCTTCGCGAGGGGAAGGGACAGGAGATGCAGGTGGACGCTTGTGGGAGCTGCAGGGTCCCCTCCCCGCACCCTTGTGTGACAGCGACATTTCCCGTGCCCCAGATGTTCAGAGGAAGTCAAGGCAGACAAACTCCAAACCGGGCCCCTGGGAACGATTCCGACCAGCCCGCCTAGGAGAATCGCTGCTTCTTTCTCCAGACCTCTTTTCTCAGACCGCTCCTGGTAAAAACAACCAAGAAACCCCAAAAGGTTTAGCCAGGAGAGCATCCTTGGGAGCTTGTGCGCCTGACAGAAATGTCGGCTCCATCTTGGCCCCCCCTTACCTCCTCCCTGAGCCTGGAGCTGGGGACCAGACTCTGGGCCACCCCTTGGGGCACAGACTGTCACCCCGTAGGTCCTGGCTGGGAGGGTGAGGGGTGGGTTTGAATCCTATCCTGGCTGATACCTCTGGAGGATGTAGCTTCCCTACCTTGGGGATCCAGCTCCAGGCAGGCAGGCAGCCCTTCCTGCCCAGCCCCCACTCCCCACAAACACACACACTCTGGGGACATCTGCAGCAGAGTTCAGCCTCTCCCCAGAGGCTGTTCTCAGCCTTCACTTCTCTGAGGCTGTAATCTCCACTCTGACTGGAGCCCAGCTGCCATTCACTGGTGGCCCCTAGGCTTCCCTCTGCTGTACCCCAATGTCCCTTCCTGGGGGTACCAGGCTCCCAGTCTTTTCAGTCCACCCACTATTTCACTGAGTGAATGTGGTTCCAATACAGATGGACCCAGCAGGGCCTAAAGGTGCCCATCACCAGTCTCTCCATCCCCCAGGGCCAAGCACCACCAGAGAGAACCTTGCAGTTACACTGCTGGCCACGTAGGCCCCGCCCCATGCTGCTGCCCTGCTCCAAGTGTCTTCCCACATCTCCCTGCCTGCCAGGCAGCCAGCCTTTCCACCTTGTCCCCAGACATGTGTCCAAAGCTGGTCTTCCTGCCTTTCAGAACCCTCCCTGCTGTAGTATCATATCTTTTAAGGGAGGGTCCCTCTCAGGGCCAGTTTAGTACTTGGGTCTGAGTCCCCTAACCTTGCTCTCTGGTGTTGCTGGGGGGTTAGCTCCCTGTGAACTGTCCATTGGACCGCAGGCCCAGTTCTGTTCTGTGTGGGGAAAAGGAAATGTGCACTTCCACATTCTGACACTTTTCATTTATTTGGAGCTAACCCATAGATTGTTCAGTGGGCATCATTTCTTTGAATTCTCCCCAGGGGAAGGGACCTTCAAGTGATGAAGTGCTTGGATGAGTACTGCTGGCTGCAGATGAGGACAAGGTGTAACCGAGAAGCCGAGGTTGGCATTCCTGTACGTGACTTGATCCCTTGGCTGATAGAGAACAGAGCAGGGGTCTTGTTGGTTGGCCAGTAAGAAAGAGCTGTGACTTTGTGACCTGGTGGGGAACAAGGATAAAAGCAGATCGAGGGAGACCTTTCCCCACCTCTGACATCTTCCTGTTACCCTCCTAGAGATAGACGTGGATGGATGGTTCCTTTGCTGCTGACTTTGGTCAACATCCCCAGCCCACCCCCTCCCAGGTGCCCTCCTTGGAGCTGGGAACCCCGATGTGCTTCCAATGCCTGAGCGGGCTTTCCAGGAGGCCCAGTGGATCTGATTGCAGAAGTTACTGAGGCCAAGCAAGGTGCCCATGTCCTTGAAGCAAGCCCCAGAGATTAATTAGAGCTGGATCCCAAGCTGCTCAGGCTGCCCCCAGAGCCCCTGGAGACCCTTCAGTCCCCTATTTAGATTAGCAGGGATATGGGTTAAGTTCACAGATCTCAACAAATCAGTCCTTCTGATGTTTGGGCCACATTTCAAGCCCCGTGTCTAGGAGGGGTGACCACAAGGGTCTCCAGTCTCCATTCCTCCTTAAAAGTTGCTCATGTCATTTGAGGGCTTTGATTTTTCATTTGGCCACAGGTTCCTGTTGCAGCCAGGATGCTTCTTTGAGTTATATAAACTAAGGATTTGCTTTTGGGGTGAACTATGCTGATTAAAATTTAGCTGGATCTAAACAGCCCGTGGTTCCTTGGAAGCGTTTGTTCCGTGGGTGGCGCTTGGTCATGGAATGCAGTTTTGAATCTTTTTTTTTTTTTTTTTAAATATTTATTTATTTTAGTTTTAGGCGGACACAACATCTTTGTTTGTATGTGGTGCTGAGGATCGAACCCGGGCCGCACGCACGCCAGGCGAGCGCGCTACCACTTGAGCCACATCCCCAGCCCCGCAGTTTTGAATCTTGAGCATTGTCTTCAAGGGTCCTAGAGGTGGGAGGACCCCCAGTTTTCGTTTTGAATTCAGGGCCTCACCCACAGCAGGCAAGTGCTCTACCACTGAGCCGCAACCCAGCCCGAGGTCCCCAATTCTGAAGATGAGGGCTTGAGGTTCGCAGGTCAGGCGTCACGCTCAGGATCTCGCAGCAGAGTCAGACTCCTGTTTCTTTTCTTTTCTTTTATTTATTTTTTTGGTACTGGGGATTGAACTCAGGGGCACTTGGCCTCTGAGCCACACCCCCAACCCTATTTTAGCCCTATTTTGTATTTTATTTAGAGACAGGGTCTCATTGAGTTGTTTAGTGCCCCGCCATTGCTGAGGCTGGCTTTGAACTTGGAATCCTCCTGCCTCAGCCTCCCAGGCTGCTGGGATTACAGGCGTGAGGCACCATGCCCAGCCAGGCCCTATTTCTTTAGGGCCTAGACTTTTTTTTTTCTCCCACCGTGTTGCTGGGGCTGGAACCCAGGCCTCCTCATGCCAAGCCAGCGCTCCACCACTGAGTTCACTTACGACCCCCTCGGCACTCTCTTCATGCACAGTAGCTTGTTCCTGGCGTATGGCACACATGAGGGGGTTCAGTGGCAGCCTTCAAATTCCGCTCACCCACGGGCCACAGTGAATTGGAGCTTCTCTGAGCGCTGAGAGGGCGGTGGCTTTTAGCTGTGCAGGTGGTGGTGGGTGGTGAGCCCCCGACCCTCCTCTTCTGCAGCTGGCTCTCACACTGTGGCGTGGGGACTGCCTCAGAGACCAGGACCCCACATCCACTCTACCTTGGGCCCTGTACAGCTCTGCAGGCCCTGGGAGGGTTAAATAGACTTGGGAATCTGGCTTTTCTTTCCTGAGTGTGTTTTTTGCAGTACTGGGGAGTCCGGGGGTGCTCTACCACCGAGCTGCACCCCAGCCCTTTTTATTTTTCATTTTGATTCAAGGTCTTGCTACATTGCGTAGGGTCTTGCTAAGTTGCCCAGGCTGATCTTAAACTTGTGATCCTCCTGCTTCAGCCTCCCTAGTGGCTGGGATTATAGGCGTGTGCCACCGCTCCCAGCACAAGTATGACTTTTCAAGGCTCCAGAACTATCTGGGGCACCTGATATTGTCCCTGTCTTACCTGCAGCCTGGCCCCCACCATGAGTGCCGAGCTCAACGTCCCCGTGGACCCCTCCACCCCGGCCTGCCCTGAGCCCGGCCACAAGGGCATGGATTACCGCGACTGGGTCCGCCGAAGCTACCTGGAACTGGTCACCTCCAACCACCACTCAGTGCAGGCCCTGTCCTGGAGGAAGCTCTACCTGAGCAGGGCCAAGCTGAAGGCCTCCAGCAGGACCTCGGCCCTCCTCTCGGGCTTCGCCATGGTGAGTACAGCGAGGCGGGGGCCCACCTCGGAGAGCACTGTGTTGCTCCTCCCCACAGCCAGGGTGCACCGGGGAGTCTGTCCAACCCACTCCTCCCAGAGCACTGTGCTGTCCACACAGGGTTGCTGGGACTAGGGAGCCCCAAGCCTGAATCCTCAGAAAGCCCCTCTTCGCGATGAGAAGGTCGTGGGGGGTGGAAACCGCTCCATGGACAGGGCTTCTGGGAAAGGCACCCTGCAGCCCTTCCTTGGAGCTGGGACACCTGCGGGACTTGAGCAGGACTCAGGATCGGTTGGGGTTAGGCTGGTTGGGGAGGTAGACGCTGGCCAAGTGTGGCCTCCTCGGGTGGTGCAGAAGTTCTGGCCTGCTTCCCCGCCACTTTCCCTCTGAGTCATCCCAGGACAGGAGTCCGTCTTGGCAAAGCCACGCCTGCTGTTGATTTCACTCCCTGTCCCACTGGATTGTCCCAGAGGGTGAGGATGGCAGGGCTCAGCCCTCACTGCTGTGTGCTGAGGTGCATTTGGGCTGGAAATGATTGATTTCTTTTTGTGACAATCATTTTTCTATAAACCCGATGTTAAATTGACAGTGCAATTTAAAATAAAAAGCCGAGGGGGCGTGGTAGGACACGCCTGTGATCCCAGCAGCTCAGATCAGAGGCTGAGGCCGCAGGATCACCAGTTTGAGGCCAGCCTCAGTAAAAGGGCTGGGGTGTGGCTCAGCGGGTAAGCACCCCTGGGTTCAACCCCCAGTAGGAAACAAAACAAAAAGCAAGAAACAAAAAGCAGGCAGAGCGAGCCTCCTCAGTCCCCCGGGCCCTCCTCCTAGTCAGAGAGGGCTGGAGGCCCGGAGGGCCGGATCTCATGGGATCTCATGGGGCTGCAGAGGTCGCCCAGCTCAGAGACAGCACATTGGAAGGCAGCACATTCGTGTTTAGGTCTGTGGTTGAGAGAAAGGCTTATTTAAAGGTCCTGTGTTTTATTTTTATAACATGATTACAGAAGTGTGTAATCAGGTGGTACACAACTTTGGCTCTGACTGATTTTCTTCCTGTGGTTTTCATCTTGTTAAAAAAGAATGTTTTTTCAAGTTTGATTTAAAGGAATGCTTGTGAGAAGTTGTTGTTTGGGTTTTTGGTGGTGCTGGCCATCGAACCCAGGGCACTCGACTTGTGCTATACCCGCAGCCCTTTTTATTTTTTACTTTGAGACAGAGTCTCGCTAAGTTGCTGAGGCTGGCCTTGGCTTTGCAATCCTCCTGTCTCAGCCTCCCAAGCCACTGGGGTTTCTGGGTGACCCGTCACTGCACAGTATTGAACGCTTACCCACTTGAAGACTTCACAGCCTTTTGAGATTTGAAAACAAACCCTGCAAGTGAAGTTTTATCGGTGAATTCTGGAGAAGAGGAGGTGTTTTCAGACTTCAGCCCTCCGGGGTGGTGAGCAGCCACTGAGAGGCAGGAGGGGGAAGCCCAAGTCACCTGCACCTCCCAGGGGCGCTGTCTGTCCTCTGCCCAGCCGCAGCACTCACACTTGCTGGTTCTAATTCATTTCTTCTTGGTGGACACAGTGTCTCCTCTTCCAGAAGTTTCCCCTTGGGGAAGCTGCCACAGCCTACGGTGTGCTGCAGACTCAGCCCAAAGGCGGGTTCTGGGAATGCGGGGAGCAACTGAGGGAGCGACCAGTACAGGTCATCAGGGAGGGGCTGAGTTGGGCCAAGGACAGGGACAGGTGAGCCCCCGTTGGTATTCCCTGGTTAGAACTGCAAGGCTGGTCCTGGGCCCAGCGAGCACCAGTGCCCACCCCCAGCTGACTTCTTCACATTTCTCCTTCCCTAACACAGAGCCTGTGACCCCGAGCCACCCGTAAAATCTCTGCAGAGACACAGTGCAGGGCTGGGGTCGTGGCTCAGCGGTAGAGCTTGCCTCACACTGGTGAGGTACTGGGTTGGTCCTGAGCACACATAAAAATAAATAAATAAAGACACTAAACACACACACACACACAGCGCAGGGGCCTCTGACTTTTCCTGCTCTTGCGGCAGAGCCAGGCTGCTTCGTGTAAGCCCCATCTTCTGCCTTTTGGTCATCTGTGTTCCCCACCCTGGGCCCTGTGGTTTGTGAGAGCCTTTCGTTGGGCCATATCCTCTGTGGTAACAGGAGCCTGCCCAAGGCCACTGAAGAAAGGCGGTTCCTCAGCCTGTGTCTTTCATCAAGGCCTCAGCTATAATTGCTACAGCTGTTCAGCTGTGGTCCACTAGGACTACTCCATCTTCTTTTCCCTATCAAGTGTTCTGTCATCACTAATGGAAACATGAAGGGACGAGGGATAAGATTCTCGCTCTGACACAGCAGTTGCCAAAGGAACTTGTGAAATCTTCCTTAGAGATTTTTTTTTTAAGTTTCTTGTTTGTTTTTGTTTCTTTGGTACTGAGGATTGAATCCAGGGGTGATTTACCACTGAGCTACATTCCCAGCCCTTTTTACTTACTTATTTTTTATTTTGAGAGAGGGTCTCACTAAATTTTTGAGTCTGGCCTCGAACTTGGGATCCTCCTGCGTCAGCCTCCCTAGCCCCTGGGATTAAAGATGTGTGCCCAGCTTTTCTTAGAGATTTTTAAAACAGGGATGGCTCAGATAGTGGAGAGAACAATCGATAGAGGGCCTCCTTGGCCTTCTCCCTTTCTGCCTCCTCCCCTACCACCTTTCTTGACTAGTTTCTTTCTTTTGGGTGCCTGGGGAAAGTTCTTGGTGAGCCTTAGAGACTCTGGTGGGCCTGGGCTAAACCCTCCATTGGGTGGTCCGTGGGCCAGGGTGAGGTGGGGAGCCAAGGAGGACCCCCTGGGCGTGGACTTGATCTGGGGGAAGTGTGGGAGGGCCCGTTGCAAACTCCCCCTCTGGTGTGTGGTGGGCAGGTCCAGGAATGGCTGCAGGGACCTCGGGGCACAGAGATAAGCCTGGCTTCTGGTTCCCAATGTGGTCTTTGTCTTTCATTTAAAAATAAATTTTAGGGGTGGGGCTGAGGCTTAGTGGTAAAGCACTTGCCTAGCACGTGTGAGGCATTGGGTTCGATTCTCAGCACCACATAAAAACAAATAGGAATAAAGTTTCATTCACGACTAAAAATGTTAAAATAATAAAAATACATACATGCATACGTTTTAAGGCTGAGAGCATAGCTCAGTGGTAGAGGGCTTGCCAACGTGTGAGGCCCTGGGTTTAATTCCCAGCACTGCAAAAAACAATAAAACAATTTTTTATTTAAGTAAAGTATACTACATATGACCCGTAGCACTGCAAAAATAAATAAAAGTGTGGTACATAGATATACTTTAAAAATTGCGGGGTACAGTGGTGCTCACCTATAATCCCAGCTCTTTGGGAGGCTAAAGCCAGAGGATTGAAATTTTGAGGCCAGCCTGGAAAAATTAGGAAGACCCTGTCTCAAATAGAAAATTAAAAAAGCTGGGGATGTAGCCGAGTGCTAGAGTGCCCCTCGGTGCAACACCCAGTACATGAAAAAGTAAATATTAAGTATTGCAGGGGCGGGTGTAGCTCGGAGAGGAGCAGTCGCCTGGCATGTGCGAGGCCCTGGGTTCCACCCCTAGCACCGCCAAAAAAAAACTGGGTGCTGTGGAAAGACTTAGGGTGGAGGGGCGTGGCCCAGCGGTGGAGTGCATGCCCAGCACTCAGGAGTCTGTGAGTTCCACCCCCAGCACCACCACAGCGGAACCCCGGCTTATAACAAAGCCCTGCACCAAGCTCTGCCACTCGCTCTTTCATCCCCCATGTTGCTCCTGCACTGCGTGTCACAGCCCTTCATGATGCGTGCGCCCCAGACGCTGCACACAGGGCCCTGCACCTGTGACGCCAGCACCCTGCCCGCCCAGCCTTCTCGTCCACACTGCCCACCCTGTCCCCCGTCTAGAGCACCTGCTTTTCCCTGCGCTTTTTTTTGGGGGGGGGGCACTGAGGATTGAACCCAGGGGCACTCGACCACTGGGCCTTGCTTTTTTGCTGAGGCTGGCTTTGAACTCCCGATCCTCCTGCCTCAGCCTCCTGAGCCGCTGGGATTACAGATGTGCGCCACTCACCCGGCTCTCTGTGCGGGTTTTTTTTTTTTTTTTAAATTTATTTTTTGATTTCAGGTGGGCACAATATCATTATTTTTTTTCATTTTTATGTGGTGTTGAGGATTAAACCCAGCGCCCCGTGCATGCCAGGCCAACGTGCTACTGCTTGAGCCACATCCCCAGCCTTTTTTTTTTTTTTTTGTTGTAGATGGGCACAATATCTTTATTTATTTATTTTTATGTGGTGCTGAGGATCGAACCCGGGGCCTCATGCACCAGAGGCAAGTTCACAGCCCCAGCCCCTCTCTGCACTTTTGATCCCGGCTGAGAGGCGCACCTGTGCTCTCTGTAGGAGGTGTTCAGGTGGCAGCTCCAAGTAGCCTCCACGTTCATTTTTCTGAGAGGTCAGTTTTTATGTGTTTAAACAGCCATTGCTTTTTGGCTAAGCCACTCCTCGGCCTGACTCTGGTGTCAGTAGCAAAGCCACATGCTGCCAGCCTGCTCTCAGGGCAGCGTGGCCTCAGCCAGCTGTGGCTTTGCACCCAGGTGCCTATTGTGTGCCCCCCTGAGAGGCGAGGCCCTTTCCCCGCCACCTCCACCCCTCTACATTTTCACTCTTCTGTACTTTTCAGGTTCGTGAGAGCTTTTTTAGTTATAATCTGAAAAAAAGGAAAGTTTGAAATAGGTGAACAGTGAGGAGGGTGCCCTCTGGGCTCTGAGGGCTCTCTGTATGGCTGAGTCCCACGGCAGGTGAGTGTGGGTACCTGTGGTGCTGCCCCCTCAGCCCACCCAGCCCAGCCCAGCCCTCTGGCCCACAGGAAGCCATGGCGAGGAGCAGCCCTGCCCACCTGGCCCCACCCCCCACTGTGCCTCAACAGGTGGCCATGGTGGAGGTGCAGCTGGAGACGCAGTACCAGTACCCACGGCCGCTGCTCATCGCCTTCAGCGCCTGCACCACGGTGCTGGTGGCCGTGCACCTGTTCGCCCTGCTCATCAGCACCTGCATCCTGCCCAACGTGGAGGCCGTGAGCAACATTCACAACCTCAACTCCATCAGCGAATCGCCGCACGAGCGCATGCACCCCTACATCGAGCTGGCCTGGGGCTTCTCCACCGTGCTGGGCATCCTGCTCTTCCTGGCTGAGGTGGTGTTGCTCTGCTGGATCAAGTTCCTTCCCGTGGATGCCAGGCGCCAGCCTGGCCCCGCGCCAGGCTCCGGGGGCCACACAGGCTGGCAGGCTGCGCTGGTGTCCACCATCATCATGGTGCCCGTGGGCCTCATCTTCGTGGTCTTCACCATCCACTTCTACCGCTCACTGGTGCGCCACAAGACAGAGCGCCACAACCGGGAGATCGAGGAGCTTCACAAGCTCAAGGTGCAGCTGGACGGGCACGAGCGCAGCCTGCAGGTGGTGTGAGGGCCGCGCAGTCGCCTGGGATGGCACCACCCGCTGTAGCAGAACGGCCGCGGCAGGGCTTCCAGAAACGCAGATGCTCGCCAGGCTGCTGGACGCGGCCAGGCAGGCCCCGACCAAAGTCTTACTCTTGTCTCGATGCCAAAATAACCCGGAAGCCGGGGCCGGCCCCTCAGAACATGGCACTGCAGTGACGTGGGAGGCTGGGTTGCCAAGAGCTGTGGGCAGAGGAAGCCCACGTGTCCCCTCATGGGCTCTGTGCAGCACAGTGAGCAGAGAGTCTCGGAGACCAGAACCTGTGGCCGGCAGGGCCAGGGTCGTGGGTTCAGACGCAGAACTCATGGCCACCTGCCAGTGCATGGCTCCCTGCGGTTGGACAGGGCTGGGCCACTGAAGGGCACAGCACTCGGCTTGGCTTGGTGCTTTCCTCCTGGCCCAGGAAGGAGTGGGGCGGCCTGGCGGGGGCAGGAAGTGGGAGCCTGGAGCACACGTCGGCCCCGCAGGCGTGGGTGCTGCTGGGGTGAGGCTGCAGGGCCTACGGGAGACTTCCCAGGCCCAGGCCCCGTTCCTCGGGCAGGTCAGTGTCTGTGGGCATCCTGCATGATGCCCTGCTAAGAAGCTGAGTTCACTGGGGGCTCCAAGGCATGCCAGGCTCAGGCGGTCTTTGCCAGCAGCCTGGAGCCTGGCCACACTGATTCACTGAGGCCACCAGAAGGGGAAAAGGCCCCTACCTGTCCAGAGGCTCCACCTCTTGACCACAAGAGGCCTGAGCCAGAATGAGCCGCTGCTTTGGGCTGCATTAGCAGCAGGCTGGGCACCGGAGCCATCCTGGCCTCCTGTGGCCCCGAGTGCTGAGAGGAGATAGCCTGGGGTGTCAGCATGGCCACTGACCCTGCTGGGCCTGTAGCAACCCAGTGTGGCCTCCTTGTTAGGACACTGAGCAGCCACAGGGACGGCAAGGGCCCCAGTGCACCCCTGCTGGGCCCGCCAGGCCTTGGGGACACAGATTCCTTCCCTGTTTACACACTGTGCAGTGTGGGGCTGGCGTCACCAAGGCATCTGGTAGACCCTGCCCACGCCTGGGATGGCGTGCTCGTCAGTGCTACTGCATGAGCTCCCGTGGCACGCACAGCACCTGAGCTGCTCTGAAACCATGTTTACCCCCTTTCCAGCAGCAGCCTGGAGAGGGGCGCCTCGTCTCTCGTGCTGTACATAAACGGCCACTGGCTTCGTGTTCTGTTTACCTTCCCTAACAGCTTACTGTGGGCTCTGGGCCGGGCTGTGGGTCCTGGAGGGCCTGGTGAGGTCTCTGGAAAAGAGACATGCTATTGAGAATGGAATCCTTGACACACAGTTCTGAGATGCTAAGGGGCCGTTGGGAATCTGCCCAGGGAGCCTGAACACAGTGTCCCCTGCGCAGAGGGTGCCACCACCCCTACAGGCATCTCTGCTCCCCTGGAGCCCTGCTGAGGAGGCCCTCGTGTTTGCTCTGCTCACGGTGTGGGCATCACTGCAAGATGCTGCTCACGTCCTGGCAGGGGTGAGACGGGCTGGCCCTTCTGAATGAGCGGCTTCCAGACCTGGGAGGGCCAGAGGGCTTTTTCTCTGGCTGGAGCCTTTTGAGGCTCCTGATGCCACTTTCCAGAGCCATCTGGTACCCCTGCCCCCAGGACACCCAGCTCCTCAGGCTGGGCTACGCCTGCTGCAGTGCTGGTGGGGCAGGTGCTACCCTGGTCCACAGGCAGTGCTGGCCTGGCAGCCCAGACACCAGGTGCCCGTGCTGTCCTCGCGGTGCCTGTTCTGACTTGGGGCGAACAGCCTCTGAGGGAAGAGAGATGACCCTGCGGGAGGGGAACCTCAGGGCTGCCCTGAGCTTATCCCAAGATGGGGGTAACCTACCATTGGGAGTGGCACAGAAACCTCAGTGTGGCAGGCTGGAGGATGGGGGGACAATCAGGCTACAACCTCAGTTTCTGGAGGCGTAACCTGATTTTGCAGAGTGTAGCCTCGGCCTGGTGACAGGCAGTGGGGCCACCCTGGAGCCAGCATAGGCTTGCCCTGGTTTTGTTTAGCGTCCTTCCTGGTGCTGAGCCAAGAGCCACAGGCACACCAGGCCCTGTGCAGTGAGGGCCGCACGCCCCTGGCCGGTGCGAGGTGCAGGGTGTTTCTGGTGTAGAAGGGCAAAGGCTGGTGTCATTAGTATGTTCTCCGAAGGTCTGTCGAGGACAGACTGCGTGAGCCAGGTGGGTGGAGGCTCACCGCAGCCAGCGTTGATGCCACTGGTTACATATGTGTGATGCTTGCGCAGATCATGCAAGGTGGCCTAACTGTCCTGTGCGTGGATTTTTAACGGTCACCCTGGATTGGATGGAATAAACCAGTAAAGCTGCTCCAACCTCCCTGTGTCTTGGTGGGACGCCCTGGTCTTTCCTGGCTGCTGTGCCAGGCTCTCAGCCTGGCCTGGGAGTCCTGGAGCCCACCGGCCTTCTGCTGGCCCCTGGCCAGGCTCCTGACAGGCTGCCCCACCGAGGGGCATGGAATTCCCTATAATAGATAGGCAGGGTGCTGGGACAGAGACCTCTGCCAGCTAGAGCCCCCAAAGGACCCTGCAGCTCAGTGGACTCTGCTCTTTTCTTCCCCAAGGGGCTCTTTTTCTGGAAACAGTGGAAGGAGCTGGGTAGTTGGCTGCCAAGGGAACCCTCTGGACAGTCAGTTAAAGGTCCCCAATTCCTCCAGAAGAGGCACTACTGAAGCTCAGGTCCCTTGGGTCCCTGCGGTCCTGGGTTCATTTAGCCTAGTGGCACTGACAGAAAGGCACCCAGAAATTCTGTTTGGGAACAGTTATCCCCTGGGGTAGAGGTCCCCTTCCAGGAGAGATTCCTGTCCCTTATTAATGCTCCAGCCCTCAGCCTGGAAGCTGCTGGAAGCAGGCACAGCAACCTGTGCCAGCATGTGGAGACTCTCTGGCAGCACCACATCCTGCCAACCAGAGAGCCAGGTGGCTCCCTGGGCTCGGCACCGAGCCCTAGCCAGCAAGTGAGCCTTCCAGCGGACAAGTGCGCATTGACAGTGAAGGCCACTATTTCCTTCAAGGCAAAATGTTCAGAAAGATGGGACCCTTCCCTACCGTGTGGCAAGCTGCCACCTGCTCTGTGGACCTCTTCTGTGGGAACCCCAGAAGGCCTGTGTAGTGGGACCACCCAACACCCAGCAGACCCAATGAGAGACTTCTGTCCCCAACTTGGTGTTTATTTTGTTTTTTCTGGTGCTGGGATGCATACTGGGCTCCTTCTCCACCACTGAGCTACGTCCCCAGCTGTCCTGACTCGGAGGCCTCTGGAAGGATGAGGGTTCTGGCATCAAGGGAAGGCTGAGCGCAGAGACCCCTGCCATGTCCATTTAGGATGTGCCAAGTCCTCTTTCCGGCCTGTGCTGCTCTCCACAAGTAGGCTGCCGTGGGCCACCCTAGAGGCCGCTTAGTTCAACACACACCAAGGCGGGGAGACCCCGGGAGGCTCGGAGTTCAGCCCGAGGCAGGACCACCAGGTCTCACCACATAAGCTGCACCAAGCTCCCTTCAGGTCTCTGCACAGCAGCAAGCTGAGGGTGCCCGCTGAGCCACCAGGGAGGGCACTGCTGACCTCCCCTGAGGCCGTCCACAAGAGCCTTAGGACAGCCCAGTCCGCATGGCATGTGCCTGGTCTGTAGGGAGTGTGCTGGAGGGAGCAGACCCAGGTGGCCACCCAGTGCAGAGACAAGGGACCTCAGTACCCCCGATGGCAGCTGCTGGGGACCAGCCCTTCAGAAACGCACGGGCAGTGGTGCTGGGAGCTGGGTCGTGGCGCACCCCACAGCCTGGGCTCTCCAGCCTCAGCATGCTGGGTGACAGGAAAGGCCCATCTTGGGAGCAGCTCCAGGGACAGGCTAAACTCTGCAGGTCATCAACATGACTGTCACGTAATGGGACTTTCCCAAGCATCTCGTGCAGGACTGCAGGAAGGGTCACGTGGAGTGCGTGGCAAGCACTGGGCCAGCCAGTGGGCGGGTCTCCTGGCTGCTCGGCTTTGAGCCCTTCTGTGTCTCTCCCTGTGAGGTCTCAGTGTCACATTTCCCAAACACACTGCCCTCCCTTATCGCCACAGCCCGTCCCAGGCAAAGGCTCTGCAGAGCCCCGACAGGACGACAGTCACACGCCTGCCATCTTCTGGCTCTGTGAGTGGACAGTGGTGGCAGCCATGGGGGCCAGGAGCCAACTCCAGGTGCTGGGCACTGGGAAGCCTCCTCGGTCTCTGCAGGGTTCCCCTGGTTTGGCAGCAGCTCAGCAGCTGGACACTGCTTCACAGACAGCACCTGCCAACTCAGCTGTTCTGGATGACCCTGGAGAGCAGTGCCGGTCCCCTTTCCTGGGAGGTGATGCGTCCCTGTTCCTCTAGGGTGGCTCCCATCACATAGCCATAAGCCAAGACGAGGGAGGGGGCTGCCATATGGGTGTGGGAACACCGCCACCCCCTCAGTCATAGGCGAATGGGGCAGCTGCCCTAGGCAGGTGGGGACCCACACAGTGCACGCCACCAAGGGCACAACCTCGAGGCATCCCGGAGGGTGAGGGCCCCTACCTTTTAAATCCCAATGTGAGGATGTGAGAGGGGCCAGGCTCTCAGATGTCCCTGCCCAAGCCCCCACCCCAGGGGGTCGGCATGACCCAAGCTGGGCCCGACTCAGAAGTTGCTGCCACCTTCTGAACTTCAGATCTACCACCAGTGACTCTCCAGTCCAACATGCCCCCAACAGAAGGGCTAGATGGCAGGGTGTCTGGAAAATTCATTCAGAGGAACAGATAAGAAAACATTTTACACCAAACTGTTGACAAGTCAACCCAAACGGTCGCCACAGTGCAGGCACAAGGGGAGACCTCAGGCTCTGTCCCATCAAAAGCAGCTCCCCATATGCTAGAGGCTGAGGTAGGAGGATCACATGTTCAAGGCCAAACTGGGTAACTTAGAGGTTATCTCAATATTAAAAAAGGCTGTGGCTCAATGGTAGAGTGCTTGCCTAGCACGTGCCAGGCCCTGGGTTCCATCCCCAGTGCTACAAAGAAAACAACTAGCAGCTGGGCAGGACCTAAGGCACATGCTGCCCATGACAACAGGATCAGGTCAGATGGCTTCTCTCAAAACCTAATGAGGGCCAGGCATGGAGGTGCACACCTGTAATCCCAGTGACTCAGGAGGCTGAGGCAGGAGGATTCCAAGTTCAAAGCCAGCCTCATCAACTTAATGAGGCCCTGTCTCAAAATAAATATAAATATGGAGGCCTGGGGATGTGGCTCAGTGGTTAAGTGCCCCTGGTTCCATCTCCAGTTCAAAAAAAACCTTAGTGAAGGGAGTTGGGTGCAGTGGTGCACAGCAATAATCTCAGCTACTTGGAGGCTGAGGCAGACTGCCAAGTTCAAGGCCAGCCCTGGCAACTTAGCAAGACTGTGTCTCAAAATAAAAAAAAAAGGGCCTGGCCGTAGCTCAGTGGTAAACCACCCCTGGTTTCAGTCCCCAGCACCACACACACAGAAAAGGAGCCCCGACACAGGCTCCCACTTCAGTCCCGGGCCGTGGTCAGTGCTGGGGCTGGACTCTGGCCAGGCCCTGCTCGGGCTCCTGTCCCGGGATGCAGCTCACACAGGCCTGCCTTGGAAGGAGAGTGCCATTTGCAGGAGCTCTCGGCCCAGGTCCTGCTGCGCGCCCCCAGGGCTGAACTCGGCTGACAGCTCCCTGAAGGTGGCGCAGACGCGGCGGGCCTCAATGTGCCTGCGGTGGATGGCATGTGTCCACTGGTGGCGTGCGGCCCCAGCGAGCACCAGCAGGGACCGGCAGGGTACGGGGATGGCCACCTCCACCTCCTGGCATGGGACGGACCTGCTGGGGGCGATCACGCTGTCCCCGAGGGCCTCGGCAGAGGGGGCTGCGCAGAGTAGCAGGCTGCCAGGCGCCTCCCGGTGCATGGACACCACGGTGGGGGACAGGAGGTTGAGGCTCACCAGCCGCTCCCCCCACAGCCAGGCGTCGTCCAGGTGGGGGTCGATGGCGGAGCCCCGCTCGGGGCAGTAGTCCAGGTTGCACTGCTCGACGGGCTGGAAGCCCTCCAGCCCGGGGTACAGCCCCATCCTCTGCACCACCTCACGGCTGAAGCTCGGGAGGCCGCAGAAGCCCGCCATCTTCAGCTTCTGTTTCCGAAAGTTGACTCTGGGGCCATAGTCCTGAGGGCGGGACGGAAGGGTCAGAAGCCAGGCGGGCTGACGTAGGGCACGCTGAAAACAGGGACAGGGCGCCGGCCAGCCTGCTGGCGTGGGGAGATGGTGGCAGGGGCAGCGTGGGCTCAGAAGCTGGACGCATTCTGAAGGCAAGGCTGACGGGAGTCACCAAGATGGCCAGGAGCCAGCACAAGCCGTAGGGCCGAAGGCCTTGGCCTGAGCAGGAGGAGACGGATTCAGAGGTGAGGACCCTGGGCGAGACTCGGGGCTCAGACCTGAGGGCCCCCCTCAGCCTGGCCAGGGGCATGAGGCTCGCCAAGAGCAAAGCCACCCGGGTGGGGCCCCCAGCCTCAAGGTCAGGGAGGAGGAATCAGCTTGGGGGGGGGGGGAACCAAGGGCTGCTGGGACCCAAAGTGGACAAAGAGCCTGTCCCTGAGCAGAGAGCCTGGCTCTGCAGGCAGAAGAGGCCTAGAGGCCTGAAACCTGAGGAAACGGGAGGTGGGGACGGAAGACAGAGGGACCCGCCACACTCCTGCTAGAGACCAGGCTGGCAGGGGCTGCAGTGCGGGTGGAAAGGGCACAGGAGGGCAGACACTGGAGCAAGGGCTTCTGCCCGGGAGAGGGGCCTCAGCACCAGCATCCGCATGGGGACAGTGCTCTCCATGGGGGCGGAGGGGACAGCGATGCAGGCGAGGAGCAGCAGTGAGTGGCTGGGCATCCTGGGAGCCAGAACAGGTGGGCACGGTTCAGGGAGCAGCCTAAGCAGGGCACATCCTCCAGCTGGCTGGATGTCACCAGTGAGGGAAAGAAAGTTGAGGGTGTCCAGGGAAGCAACCATCAGAACTAGCTATGTATGGAGGCTGGATGAGGGGAAGTAAGGAGGGAGGTGGGAGGGTGGATGCAGGCCCTGAGGGCCGGAGATGGAGGGAACAAGCAAGCTGGCAGAATAGCAGGAGGAAAATGAGGAGGGACACTGGTCCTGATTAGGGCAAGTCAGGAGTGCCAGCAGAATGTGCAAGATAAGGGATGTGATGGGAGGGGCAGTGCCTGGCAGCCCCTGCAGCCCCGAAAGGCGAGGATTGCTGTCCAGAACTCGCCTGCGACATCCCACCCCAGAGCCCACTGTGCAGAGGGGCATGGCAAGCCTGGCG